CACACACACACACACACACACACACATATGGTCGGTTGTTTCAGGTGAACATGATTTGGGAGCGAGAAGAAAACTCGTGGATTGTCTCACAAACACAGTGCTTTTGTTTCTGCTCCGCGATGCCCTGAAAAACCGCTCCAAGTGGGACGGTCCGCTTTGTTTAAATTTTTTTACCGTTGGCGCTGCCTGGACCGTCCCGAGTTCAAACATGAGGGGAACAAAAACCGAAAGATTTGTCAAAAATAAATGCCTGTTTTTCAGGTGCTTTACAACAAAAAGGGGGAAAGTATTATTTTTTTTTTCTATTATTCAAACTCGTAGCACAAAAACAACAAATCACATTCACAAGCCACTTATTGGCACCGTGTACCTGAGTGAGAATATTATAGAACCAAAGAACAAAAAAAGCTGTTTCTTAAAAGTGTCTCTTGATAATAAACAGGTCCGCCTTCCTAAAGTGTCGTCAGTTGGCCTGGAACAGGTCCACTGGTTGGACGTGAAACGTTCTGCACACAGGACCGTTCTCGCAGCAGTTCTTGAGCGCTCCACTCCAGTTTGTGTAACAGTCAGTGTGAGTGACAGGCCCTGTGCTTTCGTTGATTGGTCAGATGCTGGTATCAGGGCTCCGGTGGGATGGGAGGGGGGTTTGGCTCTGCAAAACGAGTCCAGGTTGGTCAGGAATTCAGTGGGGGGTGGTGGTGGTGAAGCTCCAGGTGATTGAGAAAAGTCTTCCTGATTGTTTTTAAAGATACCAGCAGTGATTGGCTTCAAAGCGTGCGACTGCCGCCGTCTTAATGGGTGATGTGGTTGTCGTCGCTGGCATAGTCGGCCTCTTCGTCCTCGTAGTCGAAGTCGTCGTACACGTCGCCGTTGCTGTCGTCTAACCGCAGCTCCTCCTCCTTGATCCGGGGCTCGTCCCCCTTCAGGCCAGGCAGGTTGGGGTTCTGGTGGTGGTTGGCGTTGGGCTCGGGGCTGCTGGACATGCTGGAGTGCTCTGAGGGCATCTGGGGGGACGGCATACCCGCCATGGACAGGGCGCCGGGGTAGACCATGCCTGCAGAGGACAGAGGCAGCTGGCTCTGCTGCCTGGAAACAAGGAGAGGAGGTTCAGGAAGGAAAGACGGCAGGACCTCTGAGGTGTCCAGTCCTGCATGTTGGGACACTTCCCTGCACCAGCACGCCTGAGTCAGTGGCAGAATACTCATTATGTTCTGCACAGGCCTGTTAATCATCCACTGATTAAAAACCAGGCGTGCTGGAGCAGAGAAACCTGTAAAACACGCAGGACAGTGGTCCTCGAGGACCAGGACCAGACACCCCTGATGATTCAGAACTTCTGTCGTGCTCTGCTGACGATAATGTAGTGTATCTATCTGTTGCTACTCTCAGGAAGTAATGGTTGCATGCACATCTAAAGCCGACTGACGTTTGGAATAGGGTTGCAAGAACTGGTCACCATACTTGACCAGTTAAAGACCCAACAAATGGTCCAAACTTTGCTGGTTACCATCAAGTCATAAACGGAGACGATGAAAGACGCCTCGAGTCGTAATGAACCATCAATGTTTTGGCTGTAAAGCAGAACCAGAACATCAGGGGGCAGCATCATCCACATCGTTTACCAAAACTAACGAAGAAGAACACGAAGAGCAAACTAACGAAGCTACTGAAGATGATGGAGATGGACCAAACTCTAAAGGCAGATGTTAAAAAGTGTTTCACAGAGAAGGACGTTGATAAATCAGCACGTCGTGGTGGCTCCTTTAATTTTCTTAAATGTTCGTTAATCAGTTTTAATAATTTCTAAGATAAAAGCAGGAAATAAGTGAGGAGCTACTTAATATTCGACTTGATCTAAATAATAAATCTCCTTCACCTCGTGTAAACAGATAATCTATAAAATAAATAAAGTCAACTGATTATTTAGTTTTAAAACCACTTTAATATTTTGGACCTCCAGACAGACGGGTGGCCATGTTGTAGTTACATATTTGCACTTTTTTGATTTTATTGATGGTCACCCTGCACAAAATGATACAACTTCCTGATTTTAGATTATTATAATTTGACGTTGAATGTTGCATGAAATTATTAAAAGATTTTCACAGGTGGGCAGAATAAAGCAGGTGAGGTAAAACATGATCTGGAGCCCAGACGAGTGGAAATATTTGTTGACTAATAAAAATTAATAATTGACGGACGTGGCCTGATTCAAGATGGCCGCTCCAGCACTAAAATATCAATAACAGCCAATTTTACAGATTCTGAGCTCATGTTTGTTGCTGCTGTTGTCCTGACCAGCTGACTGTCCACTGGGCTTATTATAAAATGACAATTACAAAAGTAAAGTTTAAATAAAGTTAAAAAAATAAAAAAAAACTTTTTAATGTGTAAGCTGGAAAACAGTGATCAAATATTTTGTGCCTCCAAGGGAAAAAATGTAAACTCGTTGTTTGTTTTCAGTTTGGAGATTTAATAAAAATAAGTCAAATCTAAGACGTGATGCAAATATTTACATCAGGATAAAAGAAGAATTAAAAATCAAACCATTGTTTGCGAAACACCTACATTTACAGTTACATGTAGTAACTTAAAAAAATTAAACTTGATTCTAAACAACTTTCTAAAGTCCCGGTGTCTTTGGCTGCAGAATATAAACTGAAATTACGCCGTCACAATCTCAATCTGAATTGCTGGTTAGAAACTGAAAATTCAGTTTCTTGAGTCGCACATCCAGGTCCTTCCAGAGTAATCGAACACAGATTGACCGATCGACGTTTCACGTCAAAACTTCCTTTATGGAAATGTAGATACTGTATTTTTATTAAGTGAAACAAAACTGTCATAAGTTGAACTTTATTCAACTCTTTCACAAGAACTCGTGTTCAGTTGTGCCGCAATCAGTTCGAGGTCGGTAAGCACAACCAGAGTTAATACACGAGGTTCACCGGATTATAAGACTCACTGTCAATTTTTGAGAAAATTAAAGGATTTTTAAAATAGTTTTAAAAATACAATATGTGCTTCAGTCTCAATGCGGCGGTAAAACAACGAAGAAAACTACAAAAATATCTTATTTTCGACGTATTTGTTGAAATCCATCGTACTAAAAATCGATGGGTTCTGCGGGAGCGCGCACGAGAGGACTCGCTGTGTCAGTTCCTCAAAATTTAACAAGATTAGCACCTTAAACAAATGTTTGCTTGAGATTATAGCGAAGTTGTCTCTGTTGACCTTTTCCTTAATAAATGCACTTTAATGGTTTAAAAAAAAGCTTAATTTCACCTGCTAAAGATTAAATTATGGCTCGTAATTTACAAGCGGACGAAATTAAGCTTTTTATGACAATTACAGTGAATTTATTAAGGAAAAGGTAAACGGAGACAACTTCGCTATAATCTCGAGCAAACATTTGTTTAGGTGTTAATCTTAAATTTTGAGGAACTGACACAACGAGTCCTCTCGTGCGCGCTCCTGCATCGATTTTTGACAGACCATCACTTGTTGGCACAACACATAAAGGAAGTTATTGTATTATTGTATTTTGTTGTTTTACCGCCGCCTCGAGACTGAAAAACAAATCTAGTAGGTCTGTCACGGTAACACATTTTGCTGGATGATTGTGTCCAAAAATATTGGGATTAATGATACCGTTTGAAATTTGACTAATTATTAATTATTGTCAAATTTAAGAAGAAATGTTAGTTAACTTGTTTTGAGTGGAGTACATTTTGTTGACCACTGGATGGCAGTATAAGACAGTTTGAAGCAAAGGATGGATAGTGAGGGAGCCAGCAGCGTGTCTCTAAGAAATACAGGAGCGAGGCCCCTTGACGTGACACGGGCTTTCTTTCTTTTTATTCGGCTCTCAAAATGGCGGACACTCGGCGTGGTTTGAGCTCTTCAGCAGAGCATTTTTTCACACAAAGCTTTTAATAAATGATATATATATTATTGTTGTTTTTTTGTTCCCCGAGGTCGGCCTGTTAGCTTAGCTTTTCAGCTTAGCTGCTTTTAACAATCCAAAAAATGTGATTTTGGACGATTAAAACAGATTTTAAAGAGAAAGGGAGGGGTCAGTGACGAGAACCGGAGCGTCTTCAGTAGAGAGAGAGACACGAAGAAACGATAAAACCGATAAATGAAAACAAGGTTGATAATTTTCATTTATCATGCGATTAATTTATCATGACCCATAACTACATTTCCCTTAAGGAAGTTTCACTGATGTCAATCTGCGTTCGATTACTCTGGAAGGACCTGGATGTGCGACTCATGAAAGTGAATTATAAAACTGAAGTTTCAGTTTCGACCCATGAAATTCAGAAGATTCAGCCCAGAACGAGTTCTAGCACAGATCATGTTCGGTGTAAACATCAGAGGATCTGAGGTCAAAAATCTGTAAGTTTGACTCTCTCAGGACTGACGGGTTCTGTTGCTGCACGTGTAACAAACTTTACTTTGTACTTAGTAAAAGTAAAACCTTGGCTGCAGTAAACGTAACTGAGTGCAACATACGGCACATTATGCGCCCGTCAACCAACTATTTCGCACTAAATTGTGTTCTCACATAAAGGACATATTTCCAGTTCAGTCCGACCTCCAGATGTCGTCTCACCCCACACTGAAGTACTGTCTCATCTCCTGCCTGCGGGACCTCATGATGGCCTTGTACTCGCCGATGCGCAGCTTCTTGCCGTCCACCAGACACGTGCGTTTGGGCCTCGGCTTGTACTTGTAGTCCGGGTATTTCTCCAGGTGCTGCTTGCTGAGGCGCGCCTGCTCCTCGTAGTACGGCTGCTTCTCCAGGTTGGTCATGGCTTTCCACCGCGATCCTAAACGAACGCAGGTTAGAGAAAACTCGAATCAAACGATATGAAGCAGCCACAGCACAAATCCAGTCATCAGTTCCACTGAAGTTAAGAAGACGTGTCTGTGAAAGGCTGTTGAGACTGCGTGTTGGTTAAACAGTGCAAAAAAAAAAAAAGAGCAAACGAGGGTTAATGAGGAGCACCGCTGGGACGACAGGTACTCATCACAACTAATGAGGACTTCACTTAACCTGCTGTCATGTCTCGGCTCAGATCTGTAGCATCAGTCCCTGCATGTGTGTGTGGGCGGCGTCTCGTCTTCCCCTGCGTGCGCTTCATATCTGGACTGAATTTGTGCTCGACTACTGTATGTTTAATGGGTAAAAGCTGTCAGCGCTCGGCTGCTCTCCACCCCCCCCCCACCCCCCGCTCTGTGTTCTGCGATCTGTTAGCAATCGAGAGCGAGGCGGCTTATTAAAACCAGATTTCCCCGTGTTATAAAACGCTTAGGAGCTCTTTAAAATGTCAGGGCCGATCGTGGCGGTCTGGGGGAAATGTCAGGCGGCCTCGTGCTGCTTGTTTAACGCACAATGAATTATATCATCATTTGTCGGAGCTGTGCTCTCCGCTGCCTTTCATTAACGCTCGCCTGCGCCGTCCTAAGGAAATCACTTAAGTCTGCGTGTGTGTGTGTGTGTGTGTGTGTGTGCGAGGAGACACGTGCACCGGTTTGCGTTTTACCGAGGATCTTGCTGATGTTGGAGTTGTGCATGTCCGGGAAGGCCTGAAGGATCTTCCGCCTCTCGTCTTTGGCCCAAACCATGAAGGCGTTCATCGGCCGTTTGATGTGCGGCTCGCTGCTGCTCCGACCCCGAGCTTCTCTGAATATTCTGGAGTCCGACACGCTGGGGGACCCTGGAGAAGAAGACGCACACGGTGAAGCTGCGGAGCTTCTGACGGAGATGAAACAAAATGCAGTAGCTCTGATTGTGAAACACACGTCCGAATGGCCTCGATGTGCAAGGAGGGGTTTTACTTCTCCTCTGAAACACACGTTCTGAACACGATCCTGCACAGGGCTGACGATCTGGGGTAACAATCACTTTGTCTCTTCAGGATTTTATTACTAAAAGTAGATTAGAAGCAGTTGTATGAGGTCATTCTTCTTTGGTTTAAAGTTTGTTCTGGTGGGTTTGGACCAGCTGTAGAGCTTTAATGTCCTGTTGGAGGACAACACCCCCAGCTGTCTGCTCACATCTTCAGTCTTTGCTCTGAGAAGGTCCAACACAACGTCCTTTACTTCTTTATACTGCATCTTTTGAGTCAATAAATATAGAGTGGTGGTGCAGAGGTTAGAGAAGGTGGGCCTGTGATCGGAAGGTCGCCGGGGTGGGAAAGGTGAAACTCCCACACCTGCCTGAGCCCTTGAGCAAAGCTCTTAACCCCCACCATCTTCTCCCCTGGGCGCCTTACATGGCAGCATGCTCCACACAGATGGTTGTGGTAGCTCAGTGGTTTGTGTCGGCGTCAGGAAGGACACCTGGCGTAAAAACAATCACCGAGTCTTCATGAGAGTTAGTTCAGTGTGGCGACCCTTAAAAAAGGGAGCAGCCGAAAGGAAAAAACAAAAACGCCAACAATTTGATTAAATTGTGTTCAAAGTAATGAGCGTATTTTTCGGCCTATAAGGCACGTTTAATGTATTTATTTTTCTTGTATAATTTGCATATCCTGTGACTTAAAGGCTGAAGTGACTTATTTATGGATTTTTTTCTCATATTTATAAACCAATTTTTGGCAGAGATGACCATTTTCATTCATTCTGACTGAAAATATTCAACGCTAACATTTTCAGCCGCTAGATGGCAGTCGAGTAATATGGCATGCCATTGTGTCATGTAATATGTAAAAGTGGCTATGAATGACACAATCGGCTTGCCGTACAAAGCCACCTTCATCTAGCTCACCTGGAGCAACTGTCCAATCAGCTTCATTTTGCAGCGCCGCCCCGGTGAAATGCAGCTGATTTGACCGTTGAAGTAAAAGACCGAGACACAACTTTGTGATAATTTCAAACAAGTAATTGTTTTTTAAGTGTTAATCTTGTTGCATTCTTCCCGTGCACACTCCTGCGGCAGCCAATCTATTTTTGGCACAACACCGGCCCACATTCTCAGGTTGTCAGCGGTGACGCTTAATAGATGCGACTTATTTATGGATTTTTCCACTTTGTTAGACATATTTGGGTTGATGCGACTTATAGGGCGGTGCGAGTTTACGGCGGAAAATACGGTACGTTTGACCACAAAACATTATGAGGTACGAAAGTTGCCACCAAGCGTGAGCAGAGGTGTCGGAGCCGACCACATGCAGGTTTTAACAAGCGTTAAGTGTGTGTGTGTGTGTGTTACCGTCGGAGTCTCCGCTCATGGTGAAGTCCAGCATGGCGTGGCTGAACTTGTCCTCGGCCTGCTGCTTCAGCTGCTGACTCAAACTCTCCAAGGCGGCTTTGTCCTGAAAACACACCAACGGTTCAGTCGCACGCTGGGAAAACGCAAACGGATCCACAAATCGGAACAACAGGCGAAACTTCGTCTGTACAGGTTAACGAATGATCATCGCCTGCCACAGAAACTGAAACAGAACTTTTGGAGTCGATCCTGTTCAATATGGCCGCCACAGATAATCGACCACAACATATTTGTTCACTGATTGAGCCACGATTTGAAGCGGTAGTAGCTGAGAGTCATTCACAGCACACACTCCAAGCACAGATTCATCGTCTCACAGGAAGTTATTTTTTGAGGTTTAACCAAATTAGACACACATCTAGTTTTAGTTTTAAAGTGACGGTGACATGTATATTCCTAAAGATAGAAAAATGGAAGAAAACATGTTAATATTTAAGAATTTTTGGCTAAATACACATTATTCCTTTTGTCACATAACTGGCACGGTTTCCTTTAAACTTGGTGCAACCAATGTGAAACAGGAAGTGACATCATATAACCTTAAAAATAGGAACTTCCTGTTTTCTCTTCATCTCTGATAGTAACTCTAAATAATCTAAATGTAGCAATGATCTGTTCACATGAAGGCATTCCCCTTTGACATCACTTCCTGTTGAAGTGCATGCAAATATCTCAAACTCTTAGCAGCTTGAAATTTATTTTTCAATATGTTATTAATGCCTTTCTAAAAATGAATTTGCATTTATTACAAAATGTTGACGTCACAGGCACTTTAATCTCCAGAATAAAAGACGTTCATGTAAGGAGGCCGAGTTGAGACGTTAAACTGAAACGAGTTAAACCAGAATTATTCACAACAAATAAATTAATTTAAGCTCAAAGATATTGTTTTTTTTTAAACGGGGAGCACGAGGCCGTGTTGGCGTCCATGTTGAACGCACATCTGTGTGAAAGAATGTTGATTTTAGTCTGATTTTAGATGTTTACTGTTGTGTGAGGCAACTACAAATTAAGAGTGTGTGCGCGGTGACTCCTGGCAGCCACCTGTGAGAGCGGCGCTCGTCTCTTGCAGAGGCCCTGGAGGGTCGACGCATTAAAGAGAGGGAGAGGACGAGAGCGGGGCCATGCTGCACCCCCCCCCCCCCCTATTTATTACAAGCAATAAAAGGCTGATTTACGGAGCATTTACATGCCTAATGCAAGCAGCCGCTCGCTCCGGAGCTGCGAACACTCACGGCTGCACCGGCGCCAACACTTTACAGTTTAATTACACGATTAGGAGCAAAACGCTGTCGTCTTCTAAAACAACCCTCTGAAAAGTGTCCTCCTCCATTTGCATGTGACCCTGGCGAGCTGGGTGGCTGCATGGAGGGGGGGGGGGGGGGGGGCAGAATGATAATGAAATGCATTTTCTGTTTTTAGTCTAATAGAGTTTTTAATTGTTAGAGATAATTTCCCCTCGCAGGAAGAAACGAATGTGGTGGACGCTCTAAACATTTTCCTTTCATAAACTGTTTTGAAAGGGTTTTATTTGTTTTTATTGCGCTTTTTATAAAAGCACATCAAAGTGTTTAAAGTTTGGTCATTTTGTATGAACATCAGAAATACTTTGAGTTATTATTCTGCTCTAATAAAAGCCTCGTTCGGGAGTCGTTCCAGCACCAAATGTTCGTGACACTTTCAGATTTTAAGATTAAATATGTGCTTTCAGATGGCTTTGTGTGTGTGTGTGCGTGCACGTGTGTGTGTGTGTGTGTGTGTGGCAGCAGCGAGCCGACAGACTGAGTGGATGACAGCCTAGTCTGACATTAAGCCCCGGTACAGTACATGAGAAAAGTGGATTGAATGGGTGACACTGGAGCCAAGACACAAAGTAGTGACAAAATTAATCCTGCGAGTGTCGGAGACGCCGGCCTCGCGCTCGAGCTGCACCAGAACACGAGACGGGAGTCGGAGCGGCGTGAGGGCTTTCTCCTCGATTAAAAGCAAAACAAACAAATAGGACGTGATAAAATATATAAAATAAAACACATGAAATTACAAAACGTCTATTCAGCGTTTGGTTTAACTTCTAGGGGAAAAAAAACAACTTGGAGTTGAAAGATAGAAAAACAAGGTAGAATTAAAATTTAGTGCTTGAATTGTAAACACCTATTTCCTCTCTTTTTCATGAATTTGATCTTAATCCTGTCTTATAATAAACTTAATAAATCTAAACGTTTCAACGTTGAACCGTTTCAATGAGTCGTGGCAAAATGAAAAAGACAAACGAGTGAAAACGTGTTTATCTGTGAGTGAACCAGCTGACTCCAAACGTGTCGAACAAACAACCGCAATTTAGCGACGCTGCCGAGGAGCTGGCGCCGTCACTTCACATTACTGACGCTCCGCTCTGACACACACACACACACACACACACACACACACACACACACACACACAGCGCCCTGCAGCGTGCCTTTCAGACACACTCATTACCTCGAAGATGCCTCTGGTTTTACCTTATCTGGCCCCGTTTAGCTTCAACACATTCAAGCGGGGGCATTGTGCGTCGATTTACCTCCTACGTGGTGCGGCAGCGACGGCACGACAAATTGTTCCACGCTGCCGATGAGGCGCCGCACACCGAGGCGACTCGGGTGGCGTTTATCTCTCGGAAGTCACAGGTTAAAGATGAAACTGATTTGTAAAATGAGCGGAACGGAGTTACGAACGACGGGTTTTGTTTTCGCTTGCTCGTGTTTATCACAGTTTTGTTGTGAAGAGCTCTTTAAGAAGTTGCGGTGTTGTGTGTTTTAGCTGCTGCTTGGGTTACAATAATCTGATGGATTACAGCCACTCAAAGGAATAAAACAAGTTTTATATATATATATATATATATATATATATATATATATATATATATATATATTATTTTTTTATTTTCAAAGTTCAAGTGTAAATATTACTAACGGGAAATAAATCTTAAGATTTCAGCCAGAGGGTGTGGATCTGACTTTGTTGGTTTTTATTATTGTGTGTGAGGGTGCACTTGTCTGGGTGATCTCGGCCATCCTTCACAATAAGAGTCTCAAACAGAGGATCCTCCAACTCCAGCTACAGAACGTGTTTTACTGAACACGGTGAGCGTAAGCCCCGTCAGAGGTTTAGTTTCACAAGTTTGTACTCCGTGTTTGAGACTCTTCACTCTTTAACTAAAATGTTACATTTTTATAGTCAAACCCAGTCAAACCCAAACTGGACTCACTTCCTCTAGACAAAGTTTTAACACGTTTTCTTTTTCAACATATTCACTTTTTTATGAATATACTAATCAAAGAATAACAGTAATCCCTCGCGGTTCGTTTTTCGCAGACTCGCTCTGTCGTGATTTTTCAAAATAAGATTGGACGTGACACTTGGCTGATTGATGGATGAGACACACAATCAGCACGTCGTTTTTATTTTAAATAAAATGTTCAAATGGTTTAGCACCTGCTGCACCTTTGTGCAGCCCACAGCTGCAGGAGAAGCTTCCTCCTGCCGCGTGTCGTATCTTCGCTCTGCAGCAGAGAAGTGGGCGTGGCCGAGAGCAGCCGGAGGCAGAGAGCTGAGTTCGTGATGTGCTGCGCTCAGAGTTTAGAAACATTGTTTAGAATATTGCAAGAGTGTAGGAAGGGTTTTAAACGCCTTGATAAATAAATTATAGATATCCTAAAATAAACTACTACTTGTACTACTACTACTTCGTGGGGCTTCAGGTGCTCGATCCCCACGATAAACGAGGGACTACTGTAACCACACTTCTTCCCTCAGTGAAGAATAAACACGGTATTCTTAGCGGTTTATAAAGTTGTTGGGTCCCTTTTGTTCTGGAGAAATGTGCCTAATTTTAAAACTCTGACGAAGAGTTTTTAAGCAGTCTGCTTCAATCAGGTGTTGATGTAAAGACGTAACCCGACATCCAAACATCCAGAGAACATTTTAAATTTCCCTGAGCTCTTTGGATTATTAGGACTACATAAACAAAAACATTTAAATAAAAAGAAGAAATGGCAGCCAAAGACCTTTAATAAGGCCGAGTCTGATGTGCAGGGACTTATGAGGACAGAGGGCAAGTTAAACCAACATGAGCAGAGTGAAGTCTAAAAATCAGATGTCGACGTCTTTTTACAGACGTTTCCAGATTGCATGACCAATAAATTACTGACGGCAGGTTTATATTTATAAACGTAACTGTTGCATGACCAGGTAAGTGTTGATTGCTATAATTAATTTTCAGCAGAGAGAACAAAGCACCTGAATTAATCATGAAACGTCAAAAACCGAATCTGTCTGCTCTGTCCCCATCTTTGATTTGTGGTGGAGAGAAATGAGTAAAGGGGTGCACCAGTCTTCTGGCCGATCACCGATCTCTAAAAAGTCTGACCTGCCGATTTTGTTTTATAAGCGACAATGTCGGGTGTTACAAGGTCACAATGCACCTTCAATTTTCCAGTATTATTGTATTGAAAAACATACCCTTAAACAATATTCTAGAAACAATACAAACTTGTTTTAACTGGCCATGAGGTGGTGCTCTGAAATATAAATGAAGTTCAGACAATTGTTGTTCAAACTAACAAAATCTGTAAAATCGATGTCTCATGCAAGTATCGGCCGATTTCCCCAAATTAAGGAAATCTGGGCCGTTTAATACGAATTATCTGTAGGAACTGAGGACAAAGAGAACCGAGGAAACGGATCCCACACCTGGTTCTGCACCTGTGCAAGACGAAACAGGTTACCCTGTATTCCTTCGCCCCACAAAGTAGTTCCTCCTAATAAATAATGTAAACAACTTAGTTACTGAGCTTGTTTTATTCCGTGTGTTTTTCAACTGTTAAATGGAACTTGAAATGATTTTTAGTAGTTTATACTCAGTTATTTTACTTATTTATAGTTATGGGGCGCCACCGTTCAGCGACCTGCGTTCATCAAACAGATTGGAACGTGTCCAGTGATCTGAACAGCCAGGTCTAACAGAATTTAATTTGGGACGTCAGATTTTCTGTCCTGTGGGCGCATCGATACAATGCTAACACTTGACCCGACGTGAGCTCAAACGAAGTGTGAAACCTGCTGAGACCAACAGTGGAGAGATTCTGCTTAGATCCATTTGGCGCAGACGGGGATCGGAACAGAAAACTGAGGAGGGGAGTCAAAAACTGGGACGTTTTCTCCGACATGGTCAGATCTTGTTTAACCAGTTCTGTTTTATTGATTTTTTTCCTCCATGTCAGTCGTGCGTCGTGTTCATTACCTAACAAGGCTGAGTCAGGTCCTCGGGATGAATTCAACAAAGAACAACCTGTCCAGAGGACCTGACTCAGCCTGGTTCGATTCATCTACCTGGATTATAGAGCATGCATCAGGACGCTGTGTTCATTACATTTAGTCGTGCACTGAAGCGGTCAAATCATCCCTGTGTCGGCTGGAAAACGAGACACGACCTCGACCAGTGGGATGAGGAAAAAGGGTGACGAGTTTGTTCACAAAAACATAAAATAAATATTAAACAACGTTTATCATATTTATACTACCAAAAATGTATTGAGACTTCTAAAATTAGTGTGGTTAGTAAAGTATTTTTGCTCAGGAGTTTACGTGTGTATTTTCCTTTTAATGAACCCAAGTCCTGGATGACTCATAATCCACTCAAGCAGCTTTTAATTTTTTTAACGTACAAGGTTCCTGTTTATAAACACAGTTTCCCTCCCTTTCTTCGTAGATTGCCTTTGTGTGTGGGAAATGACGAAGTAAAGAGGCGCACCTTGTCCGAGCGACCGTTGTTGAGGCTGAGGTTGCTGACGGAGGCCAGTTTGGCGTCCAAGGCCTGCTGCTCCCCCTTCAGCTGCTCCTTCATGTGCCGAGCTTCGGCGAAGGCCTTGCTCACCGCCTCGTGGTCGTTCAGGTAGGTGTTGGAGGAGAGCGAAGACAACAAGTCTGCTGAGACGCCGACGGGAGACAGAGGTGGAGACAAAGTCAGGTTAGTGCTTCATGTTTCTGCAGGAGTCTCTGTTGAGTTTGCTTAAATGAACAAACGTGTGCTTGTGTTTTTAATAAATCTGAACCAGGAAGTAAAACATCAACATGCATGCGAGGTTGTCTCCATCAGTCGGGTTAGTTCCTAACAAAAAGCCACTGCTGCTTTATGAGGCCTTCATCTGCGTTAATCCGCACCACTAATGCCATCTCTGGCCAGATTACCAGCCTTAGATTGGTAATGACAGAGCCGTGAACTCTTTCAGAAGTCATAACTGGAAAATCTGGACGTTAGTCAGGTTTAAAAACAAACGGTGGGGTTGGGGGTTGAAAGGGAGGGCAGAGGAGAGAGGGCGACAGGATGGGGCAGGAGTCAATTTTAATCTGCCGTCAGAAAAGACGAGGACACGCACGAGTGTGTGTTTGCCTAAATTGACGACTAGGACAAGGGTGGGGGTTTGCTCGTTCTCTCGCTCTACTCGTACAAGTTTGTTTATTTGTATTTGGGGCAGAGAGCTCGGAGGACAAAGACAGATGTGTGATCATGGTGGAAGTTACAGGCGCTGACAGCCTTTCACTTTGGGTTCAGACGAGTAGATGGATGGATGGAAAAAATGTGAGAGTGGGAAACGTGCCTCTAGGGGGATAAGGTGTCATATGAAAGAAGAGAAGGTACACAGTGGATGTACCTCCAATATACTCTGTTAAAAATGGTAACCACTACAGCTTATTTGATGACAAGTCTTAAAGGTACTCACTGCAAAGTAATGGAATCAAATATATAAATTACATTAAATGACACTGTTTGAACAAATATAGTCCAGTAGTTCCAGATGTATTGATATAAAATTCTGAAATGGGGGTGTGCACTCAATGTAAACAAAGCCTTCTGCTGAACTTGCCAAAAAGACCAGTCATAACTGACCTACATTAGACTGTGTGACAAATACGGAGGAAACAGGCAAACTTCAAATTGAGTAGATGAGGCGGAAATATGAGTCAGTCTGCTGCCAACGTGTCAGGAACAAATACTGGGACCAGGCAGGGCGGTGAAGCATCGTCCAGACTGAGCTGTGCATTCAGACACACGACGTTCGTGAAAAATACTTTTTAAGTTTTCCTTTTTGAATTAGCCTTTCTTTTTTTATACTCGACAAATCTGAGCGTAAATGCATCTGATCTTAAAGGCTCAGTTCTGACATGGCTTGAATCCTATTTGTCTGAGTATTTTTATTCTTTATTCCTTGTGGTGTACCTCAAGGATCGATTTTGGGGTGCATTTTCTTTTGGGACATTCAGAAAATGTTTTTTCACTGTGTACGCTGATGACATCGAAACGTATCTCTTTAAATGGCCTGTCTTTACCCACTGCTGCCTCTGTATAGAAGAGTTTTAACAGAATTGATTAAACCTTGATTGAAAACTAGACTGAACTTCTCTTTGTAAATCAGACCTCTTTCATCAAGTGGACTTGTATTTTTGGTCTGCCAGCCCTCTGAGCTCAGGAAGGTGTTATCGGGTCCCTCTGGCAACGAAGAACATCTATAAGAAGTCATTTACTCCGAGTGCAGCAACCATTCGTAACCAAACCAAATGATAACATTTATCTATGGTACGCCAAGTGTTTTATTCTATGCACAAATTGTGATATTTTGATTGTATGAATGTTTTATTTTATGGTTGGAGAGCCGAAGGAAAATTTCCACCTTGTTGGACAATAAAGTTTGATCTTATCTTAATGTTCAATCCAATCAGAGTCCCCATAAAGGTTTTTAGTTTAGTCTATTTTTTCTTTCCTTGATGGCGTCTCCTGTTTGTTTCTAACCAACTGGTTTGGTCAGCCATGTTCTAAACGTGCTACAGAAATAAAACTGACATGGATGAACGTCAACATTCCTGACCTATTTTTCGTCACTTTGGCTGTTTTTGAAAGTAAAGAAATGCACATAAATAGCATCTGGTAGCACATTTGCTTTAATTTATTTGAATTTATAAACACTAGAATGAGAATACTGTGCAAACTATTTTAGCTTTTTTTTTTTTCCAGTCTCAACTTTGCAATGAGAAGCTTTGAAAATGCTCTAAAGTCCCACCTCTTAAACTGTCATTACATTTATTCTGATTTCTGCTTAATTTAAAGCAACTTGAAGAAAAACATGAACATAAATCCCACAGTGTGCGCTCCAAATCAAATCGACCACCTCTGGACCCGCTTCCAATTGGTCTGCCCCCGCAATCCACTCTGAACTTGTAACGTGAATCCTAATACGACGGCAATCTGTAATACCGAGTGACCGGCTAAAACTCAATGGCAACAGATGGAGCCATCAGGGATCTCACACACACAAATCGTTCAGTAGGGGAGGTGGGGGTGGGTGGGGGGGAATAAAAGGGGCAGATCACACACCAACTTAAAAAAAACTGTAATCCATTTTTCTGAACAAAAAACATCTGGGACCAAAAATCCACTAATCTGATATTAAATCCACCGATTTGTTGAAAAACAGTGAGATTAGCCAGGAAGTCGGGGAACAAAAATGACTAACGGCCTATTCCATATGAGGAGGGGGGAGGGGGGGATTGTTGTGTGAGCCTTTGTGTGTTTGAGTGTGTGCGCTGTCATTGTGTCATTAATGCTGAGCGTTTTGCGCTGCTGTCCTGGCTCATGTAAGAGGCTTGTCTAATCTCATTGGTGATACCTCCTGTCTGTCATGCACTCCTCTCTTCATTATTCCCCCGTTTCTTTGCTCCAAAAAAAAGTGCTAATCCTTATCTCTCTCCCCTCTTCCCTTCTTATCCTCACTCCTATGTCTCTGTCTCATTCAGTCACTAATAAACACATAACAATGAAGCAGCCCGTGGGCAAAACGTTGCACGGAGGAGGAAAAAACAACAAAACTAATTATAGCCACTTGCATATATACGTGTAATATTTGAACTATCAGCGGTGCATGAAAAATGGATTAGGAGTACAAAACGATGATTCATTTATGTCGTGTTTTCTGTATGTGTGCTTATGGCTGGGTACGATGAAGGAACTGGCACGAGCAACAATACTGTGAGGGAAACGCTCTTCGTGTCACAGCTGCGACTAAACTATTAATGTTTTCCCTCAACGCGCTAATCGTCATTTTAGGAACAATCTGCAAACACTTTGTTTGTTTGTATACAGTTAAAATAACAATGTTTACATTGTTTGTGCCACATTCAAAGATGCTGTAAGAATAAAAACAAAATCCGTTGGTTCTGCTGTGTTTTCACCCAGAATTTGAATCACTAATAATTCATTTGCACAATTAAATTCTAGGAAAGGTTTTGCAATTAAATATGCAAGATTTATTTATTTATTTTTTTTGCCAGCATCTGCTATGTAAATATATATATTTTTTTACTTCTTTGACCAACTTCTGATGCCAAAAGAAAGACTTTTGTAAACTTTTAATAAACAAAACTTAGGACTAAAATTAAACCTTTACAATGCGCACACTCAATGTAAACAAAGCCGATGTGCTGAAAACCATGTGGAGGCTTAAGTCGTGAGACCTGCTGAGCAGCGTGGCTGTAGTTTGTAGAAGTAAACAAATATAGCTGATACGTTTACCCATTTTCAGTCACTTCGGCTGTTTCTGTAGGTCAACAAAAGCTAGATGTAGTTTGCATTTGGTCTCATTCTGATAACTTATTTTAAATTTAGGGACTTCTTTACCTTTGCAAAGACAACAATATACATGTTGTCTCTAATCCGCATGACTTTGCAAGTTTTACCAATTTAATTAATGCATTATTCACTAAAAATGGTTTAAATGGAAATTATTTCTAATTTTTCCCCAACACTTAATTTTGGATCAGTTTTTGCAGTTTGTTGCCACTATTCGAGTCAAAATGTACATTTCTCATTAGTAGGTGATGCATCTTTGTCTTCTTTCATAAAATGGCAAGAAGCGACTGGTCTGTGGTGTCGAAATTCAATTGATCTGAGGTGACCATGGCTGTGTGCAACATAGTGACCATAAATAAGCCCAACATACATCCTGCCCAGTGTGGATCTGTGGGTGGTGCATGAAATCCTGTGCTTTGCCTCTTAAATCCACTTACCTATTGAGCTGACTCTGGTCGGTGGTCCTCCGATGCTGGAGGGCACGGTGCTGTGCTTCATGGAGCCGGCCTGGCCCAGCTTGGTGGCGGCAGCAGCAGCGGGAACCTGTGGGGAAGTTGGGGGGGAGTTGGGTGACTTGCTCTCGGATGCCTTAGGCTTGGCCGACAGGTTCAGTGGCTGTGCACCCTCACTGCCCTGCAAAAACCAAAACAGCACAGTTTCGCCTGCTGTGACCACCGTAGGAATTTGGAGGTGGGAGGAGGGGGACACACCCTCACATCTCCCCAGTCCGGGACCGCGTGCTACTCAAACGGAAGCCCATGCACAGCAAACTGCGGGACGACACGGTGACTGGGTGCATGCCACTGCCCATCTTCAAATGTCTCGTAATAATCAAAGCACGACACAAAACACTGACATTCACATGCAAAACAACTGTCCGGAACCAGCAAAGCCACTCTTGAAACGGTCATGCACGAGCACGTGCACACACACCACATGACCATGCAGTATATCATACTCGTGGGCATTTCAAGCAGCAACCAAACACATTAATTGTCCTCAAAACTGCAAAGAATGCCTCCTTCAGACTGTGAGCATCAGAAGCTGCAATGTCTCAAACAGCAAACGGAAGACGGGCCCGTCTCTTCCAAAAGCTTTGGGTCCATTAGAAACGAGGAAACTCCCTGAACGGCCCTGAACACAACCACACGTACTCACAACAACTGCAAACAACCAATACGACTCCCGAAGAAGCTTTTTGTTCCAACTTGTCCACATTATTTTTATACAACACGATTACCACAGTTTTGGGGAACACAATATTCACAGTAAGATGGTAAACGCATTAAATGTTTACTCTGACAAATTCTCTTTTGAGGGTTGGGGATAAAGATTGTTGTATGCATGTGAGAACAGCAACCTTTAAGTAAATCGCCATGTGGGCTACCACACATACCGTCATGGCAACCTCACCCCTGCTGATGACCTAATCCAATCATGTCTAACCTGAGAGGGTCACATGACAGGATGGCAGGAATTGGATCAGGGGGGGAACAGATGTACACCAATCACTCGGTGTATTTAAAACTCCAGACGCAATATGGGACAAAAGGACAACATTACAGGCGGTTAAAAGATGCTCGACAGTCGTGCTCAGATTTGGGTTTGAAGGTATTTTGCTGGTTAGTTGTTCAGGCTAATGAAGAAGTTGAAGCAGAGCTGGCGTGGCTGTGCTTCAGTACATTTAAACCTAATAATGTGATAGAATAGAGACGTTATATGTCTTTATTTTCTGGTCATTAGTCTAATTGCTGCTTAGGCGGTATAGTAACCGGCATATAGTGGGATTCAAAAGGAGACAAAGTATTGTCTGTTTTGTGTGTGTGCTGTATATTCACTCATTAAGGCCGACGTTCCCTGATTCCCACTCTCTGAGTCGCACTAAGCCTTACGAGCCCCTCACAACTCAATTAAGCCCTTCCAATTAAGCCCCTACATGTGTATGAGCTCATGCTTGTGTGCGTGCGCGTGCAATGAGGCCTAACCGGATTGTCCTTCATTAAGGGGGTCTTTCTTAATAGACGGAGGACCCCCAAAGATGCCTTCGGCAAGACAATGGGCCGAAGAAGAAGAGGAGAGAAAAGGAGAAAACTGAGCGGGATCTTCTCAATCCTGACCCATATTATGGCGGGCTTTGGCTGTGAACACATTTGAATATTTATTACAAATAGATAATGCCTGTGCCTCTTGTACAGTGGATTCGGGGGTGGGGGTGGGGGGGTCCTCTTTGCACCGAGCCAAATCCTGTGGTGGGAAGGTGGCCAACCTGCATTATGCCAGTGTGGAGGAATTGGTTTAGAGAGTGGAGCTGTGACGCTTGGACAGACTTGTGTGTGCGTGTGTGTGTGCGTTCTCGCAAGACATTGTTCAACAAGCTCTAAATCTTGTGTGTGTGTGTGTGTGTGGAGTCTAAAGCCTCTGTAAAGCTTGGAATCTTGAATTAATACAATTGCTTTTGTGTCTCTCTTGGCTGATGAAACAGTCTCCAGCTTTGAGACGGAAAACATGCAGAGTGACAGCAAGAGCCAGAGGGACACGAAAAGATGGAGAGGAAGCAGAAGGGGAGAGATAATGTGTGTGTGTGTGTGTGTGGGCTGCATTTCACTTCAGTGAACATGTGCGAGTGACATCAGCGTTCTGCATCTTATCATGGGAGCTGACGGTTCAATTAGAACGACAAGCGTGCGTGCCGCCTCGGTTTATCCCTGTCAGGTCTACGTGAGCGCGAGTGTGGAGGTGTGTTGCATGGGCTCCGGTGACCACGATAAAACGCTTAAATATGCAGTTTATTCCTTCATCTGCTGCTTCCTCCTCTTACCTTTCCTTGACTGTTACATTATTGGATTAAACTTATTATTAGGTAGATATGACACTATTGTGATACAAATGCTACTTGGATAGAAGCGATGATTGTTATAGTCTATGATCTTCTTCTTAAGGTGAAGGGAGGGAGAGCAGAAATAAGAAGATATTCATGAACCTCTGGAAGGATTTGAATAAAACTGAGAAAGCCGCAGCTGAAAACGATCCCCACAACTTAATCTGAGGTTAACAGATTTACTTTGTTTGGATCCATCTTGTCTGTTAGTAAAATATCCTAAGAACTGGTGGACAGTGAATCTTTCAAGAAATAATTGCATGATAAACATCTAGAGCTCATTTTGTTTTGGAGCCAGCTCAATTCAAGATGGCCGTCACAGCTAACTTAACTCCAAAACACAAACGCCCATAACTCAGTCAGTTTTACAGATGTTGTGTTAACTTCTGTTATGATAGCAGCGTGCTGACATTATGCAAGCTCTAACACAAGGTCAACTGTTTGTTAGCAAAATATCTCTTGAACAAGTGGATGGATTTAAGTGAGACTCTAATCACCTCAAAAACAAACTCGACACAAGATGGCTGCTAGAGCTAACAAACGTTTTGTCACTACTACATATGACGGGAACAAAATTCATTTAGCATCCGGCATTTTCTGAAGAGTTGATGTAACTTCTGAATGTTTTGGATAAAAGTAGATCAAGTAAATATTTTTAACGATCAATGTAAAAGAAAATAAATCTAACGTAAATATGATTCACGGAGAGGAAACGAGGAAGTGTTAACAGATGCTGTTAACCAACATTTAACATGAACTCTTGTTTTTTTTGGGGTTTTTTTTTCTGTTCACACTAATTCTTGATAAAAAAAATAAAATAAATCACTGGGTGGGTGGGGGTGTGATGTTTGCCCAAGGGTGCACGATCTGAAAATCTCATCAGCACCTGCCGTAAACGTCTGTCCCAATTTATGTATTCATAACTGGATAAACATGTCACAAAAATCTAAACTACATGAAACATGGTCACAGGAGCCAGTAGGTAGGTGGATGGATAGATGGATGGAAGGTAGTTGGATGGATGGGTAGGTAGGTAGGTAGGTAGGTAGATGGATGGAAGGTAGATGGGATAGATGGATGGAAGGTAGTTGGATGGATGGATGGAAGGTAGTTGGATGGATGGATGG